AGGATGTCCCTGCAGGCCCGATTTGACCGCTTTGCAGGCTGAATCCAGCCTGCGAGGCTTGAGTTTGACACCGATTTATGATTTACATTGCTTTCATCTCCAAAAGACTGCATTAGAATATGCAGAAATATAAATACAGAATCTTTTGGCAAGGTGTTACATATACCTACTATGTTTCAATTCTCATAAACTTTTTGGAGAATGAATGCATGGTTGCACAGGCCAAAATGGCACTGGCTATTCTCAGACCTTTATTTTTCTGAGGAATAATTTTCCTGTCTCATAGAATTGGAAAAAGCTTTTCTAGCCAATCCTCTGCTTAGCAGACAGCACTTTCCAGCTCTCTATTATTCAATTTAGAATCTTAAAAATATTTCCACACTCACATCTCCTCCAAAGTCTGTTTCAGCTGGAGGACCACCATTAAAGTACCTGAAAATGAAAAGAAGAAATCCATAGGAAACAAAAGGAGGGAAAAGTTATCCTAAATAAATATGGAAGTAGAAATTCAGTGATGATAATAATAAATCATGGCAAAATCACAAACAGTAATGGAATTGAAATACCAAATGACTAAATTACCAGGAGCCATCAAATTTCTGGGCATTTTATAATTAGATAATATGAAGCATGGGCCCTTAAAAAAAAGCTTAGTAAAGAATATACCCAGAGGATGAGAAAATTGCTGAAGACAAAACTGAATTGTGGAAACATCAACAAAGCCATCAATACCTGTGATACAATACATTGCTGGAATTATTAATTGGACATAAACCAAACTGAACAGTTTGGATTGAAAAAAAAAAGAAAACTAACAAGTATTCATTATGCATTACATCCCTGTAATATCTGCTCCCCGCCTATTGAAATGGAGGCACAGGTTTATTTCGAATCAAACAAACTGTTGAAGAAGAAAAACATGCATTAGCTGATTAGAAAAGACAACCAAGAACAGGCATTAATGCATATTAAAACTGAACTTACTGAATGTGCAGGAAACAAAATATGAATATCAAAATAATGTAATGAAAAAGTACAGAATGTTGGCAAGGGGAAACATTACATGGTCACTTTCTACAACAGACTGAGGGGAAAGCAGGCAAAGATAAACTTGGCGGTGACAGCTGGAAGATTAAAAAAAGAAACTCAAGGCTTGATTTTGGCTGCTTAAGAACAAGTTATATCAATTAATGCAATCAAAGCCAGAACTGAAAATTTGTCAAATGATTCAAACTGTGCAAAGAGGCAGCAGAAATGGTAGACCATACTCAACTTGCGCAAGAAGATTGCACAAACTGATTATAAACAGTAACATGATACAGTAGCTAATATGATTCACAAAAGTCACACAAGAGGGCTTTATTCTTGGGCAGCCTCTTCGGCAGTTGAAAATCCTGGAAGCATTCTCTTGTGATTTTTCTAAGGCTTGTCTCATGCAATTTTTTGAGGCTCTGAAGCACAGAATCTGGCGGACAGCAGAGTGTCTGGACAGGAGATGTGGAAAAGCCCCTTTTGCAGTGAGTTCGTGAGTGGGAGTTGACATACCAGCAGTCAAGGTAGGCAGTTTCAGAATTTTTGACATGCCAAGCCCAAAACATTTGCCATCACTGACCTATACTAATTTATTAAAATTTTACACTCGTCAACTTTCAATGACTCTGGGCAGATCACAATAACAACCAAATCAATAAAACATAAAGATAAAAGGAAGCAAGTATGATGAAGCATTGTGCTTTCCCATTTACACACACACACACACACACACACACACACACACACACACACACACATCTAAGAGTATGTAAACTCTCTTTTAGAGAGTTTATTAATGTTCCCTTCACCCAGCCTCAGAATTGCCCCAAATAACTCCAGCCACAAGCAGACCAAGATTAGTCCACAAGGCAATGGCAATAGTCCTTAAAACAATAGAGTTTCTCCAACAAGTCCACCAAACAAACTTAAGAGCTACCAAGCAAAACTGAAAGTATATCCATGACAGCTCACTTGACAAGTGAAGTTCAGTCTCCAAGGCACAAAATCAAGCAGTGGCACAAACGAATACACAGCTACAAACCAAACACATTGTTCCCAGCAGTACCTCCCTCTGCCTGCCATGATAAATAGCTTTCCAGTGCAGCCCATCAAGATGGGCAGGGCCTTCTTCTGAGTAATCCAGAAGATCTCCTTTGCTCTTGTCTATTCTCTGCCTTGTGCGCTGTCAGATCCAACACGGAAGGCAGCTCCTCCTCCTCCTCCTCTTCACTGACCTCAAACTGTCCCCAGCCGAAGCCCTCCGTAAATCTCTTTCGGCCAGCAGTTCAGAGTCATTAATTAACCCAGTTGATGTGCAAAGAATGAGCTCAACCCCTCTCAAGATGGCCTCCAAGTCAGCGGAGTCATCCAAGGGAGACATCACAAGCATATGGTCTTACTTTCCCTTACCAAAGGTCTGTGTGAATGAAGATCCAGATCTTCACACCTCTTCTAAACAACTGTGTGGGGACCATTTGGATTTCAAGAGGATGATCCAAATATCTGTTTCAGAGGACAGGCACTACTACATAGAATGCACTCTTATGAGGTCCTGAGAAGTGATTGCTTAACTGAAACAATCCAGAGCACACCAACCCTGAGCAGATCTTATGGGAGTTAGGCAATGCCTCAATAATCTGGACCTATATCATGAAGGACTTTATAGACAAAGCCCAATACCTGATTTTTTGCTCAGGTTACATTGAAATCATTGCAGTGCATAAAAGGTATTCTGGCTTGGTTACTTAATGTTTTATCACTGATAGAGCTAAGAATAAATTGTAAAAATTCTTAGTGCTACCTGAAGACATTTTCATATCTAAGGTATATAAAGTAATATTACCCCTTCCTGGTTTTTACAGAAGGAGTTGATTGGAGAAACTTTAACACTGGTAATAAGATAATTGGCTCAGATTATACTACAGGTTTCGGACAGTTTGCATGTCATATAGCTGGAAAGCTCCATATCTGCTATATGAGAAGATTCCCTCACTTTGACGAATGGTAGTGATTACTTTGATATTGCGTATATTGTTTTATTGAATTTAATGTTGTGAATCTAGCATCAGTTTGAGTTTGTTAACTTAATCTGGAATGTTCATTTTATTCTCAATTTATCTTCTATGTTCCCTGAGACTTCCCTGAGACTTTAGAATCTAGAACTTTATTCTTTCTATATGCTTGAAGTTCTATTCTTCAATTAGGAAAAAAAATGGGTCCTCTATTTTACTACCAACTTTGTTCCAACATACTTCAATGCAGAAATGCATCACATCAGAACAGTTTCTACAAACCATGGTACATATTACTAGGCTTACTAAAGTCAGAATACAAGTTGTATATACAAAACACTATAACAGCCAATCCCATTTTACAAGCATTGTTTTCTACCTACAACCTTCACTGATAAATTAAGGGAAGCAAATGATATCCTGTGGCTGTGAATACTCACTCAATTGCAGGAAGAAGATAGTGCTTGCGCAAAGATTCAAAGTAAGGTCCAAGATTGGCAGTGCCTTCAATAACGAATACAACATCAGAAACCATCCCAATAGGTTGAGCAGGCATGTCCAGCATTGGTACCACCATCTCCTTCAGCTACCATGAGATGAGAATAGAGAAGAATAGTAAAACAAAATATTAAAGACAAAAGCCAGTTGAAATAAATGACTTCTTAGTATTTATTCAGTATTAAAAGAGGACTAAATACTGTACAACATAAGTGAACTATCTCTGGACAAGAAAACAATTTACATTAGACAAGTGTAAGAACAAGAAAAGTAAGAGACTAATAAATGAAAAGTGGAATGAAATCATATGTAAGAAGAGACAAAATGGACTACAATGGGCATCATATCCTCCCATTAGTTCAAAATAAAAGATTCCTCCAACCAAAAGCTTTACCTCTAAATGTTGTTTCACTACAACTCCCAGCAGAACTAGCTTTCTGAGCCTAAGATTATGAGGCATGAGTGAGAATTATACTTCAGCAAGATCCCCAAAACCTCATTCTCCATGCCTAATGTTGTATAATTTCCACAGCCAGAATCCCAACAAATCAGTTCCAGTATTTCTCACTCCATATGTTCAAAACACACGGTGGGGTTCTGGGCAAAGTTGATCTCGACCAACATTTAATTCCCACAGCAGTTAACAGATACTTATAGGAAGCCTCCAAGAAAGAATGAAGGCAATTCCTTCTTATTCTTCACCTTTACTACTAATTCTTATTCTTCACCTTTACTACTACTACAAGAGCTATTCCGATAGACATAAGAGAGTTGCCACGCCCTTTAGTTGTTAGAAAGGCCTTTCATGGTTGTACCTCCTTTTAAAAAATTAACCAGATTATCAGCTGTCACTAGCATCTTGTTATAATGAGTCCCGGAAATTAAGAAACTGAAAAACAAACATTGCTTCCGCGACAGCTTAGGCTTTGTTTGCTCTGAATTTACTCTCAAATCTTCATTTATTAAAACCAAAGCCACGAAAGAGAAATGGGAAGGGCTTGTTTTGGCTTTGCTGAAATGAGCGATGGAGGAGAAGCAGGAAGGTTATTTGTGCCTCGCACTCGGATTTTCTTTCACTCTCCCCTCCACCCTTCAATAAATGCCTCTCCCACTTTGAATTCTCTCCCCCTCCCATTTGCATTCCCCAACACATACACCCCATCTCCGTACCCGAAATAGACATCCGGCTTCTACAGTTCACTTATTTTTAAAGCCACAGGAAACGCTTACCTTCAGGTCCGCTTCGGCACGCATGCGCACATGAAAGAGGCATCAATTTATTTTTCATTCTCTCTTAATAATTAAAGAGTCCTTTTGCTCACCCACTTCCTCCCGGAAAGAACGAACGAATCACAGACCGGTGGAAGGGGGCAAAGTAGAAAACAGCCAATCATACATGAGCACTGTTACCATAGCATCGGCTGTGCTTACATCCCGGCATACTGTGGGTTACTCAATATGGCGGCAATGGGTCGTGAGAGTGGAGATGTGGACGTTAGGCAAAAGGAATAGAAACAGCGGAGTATTGCATTCGGTAGAGTTATTCACGCTGCCGGTTTAGTGTAAGAAAAGGCTCAAAATGTGGGAGGAGGCGGAGAATTCCGTGATTTTGTTGTGCCTTACCGCTAGTAGTGGAGTGCCCTTATACTGTAGGAGCAGAGGAGGGTCTACGAAACAGCAGGTGAGAGGTGTCCATCCTGCTTTTCATTCCAATTGATAGTGAATCACTTTATTTTAAAAAATACTTGTTTTGTGGAGTTCTCGGTGCCTTTTGAGCAGGGATTTTACTTGCAGTTACCCAGCTAAATAACATCAGTGGTAGTGAATATGGAGTTTGCTCTCTATTCTCCAATAATCAACACTCAGCTAAACAGGGATCGGCATCAGAGAAAAATGAAGCAGAAAACAATATCCTAATCAAATAATATCAAAGAAAAAAACATACCACCACCAACATTGGCAGGGCACATTTCTATGTATAAACGGGGAGCGAACCCCACACTCACTAGCACTGATGACATTAACTAATTGGCAACCAAACTCAAAGAGAAACAAGGACTTCCATAGTTCAACTCTGAGCTACATATATTCTCTTCTGTTGAAAATATATGCTTGCCAAAATGCTCATATTGGGAGATGATTGACTTGTCAGTCCAACAGTTTAAGAAGTTGTGTAGTTTACTTGGAAACAGTGCTAAAACACTTCCTACAGCGCTAAAACACTTCCTTTGATTTTTGAAAGTTTTTAAAGTTTGGCATGATAAAAGAAACAAAAAGTTAAAAATTAAAAATATTAGTCATCCAGATTGTTATGAAGGTGGGAAAATGATTTGACAAGTGCTCTGCCATTTTGCGAAAAGTTACCTATTAAGAAAAGTGAGGAAAAAACAGTGCTAAATATTTTGGAAAACTATTTTCAATTTAAACAGATAATACTGGCTGTCTATTGTAATTTCATATGTTCTTGTATGAATGTTACACTAATGTTTATCTCTTCTTTCCCAGTTACCCTTTTCTGTCATTGGCTCCTTGAATGGGGTTCATATGTTTGGTTCCAATTTAGATGTCCAGCTGATAGCAGCCCGTACAGAGAATACTCATGTGATGTGGAAAGTGTTTCATAATAGGTATGTAGAATCGGGAATATGTATGCCTCCAAGTTGTCATGTTGCTAGCAGGTCGTCTGATTCTTCAGTAGATGCATATAGGCTAATTTTTGCAACAATTAAAGATCTTTCAGGTTTTATAACTTAAGTCTTAGTGTGAATAATTTTAGAATATTGAAAACTTCAAGGCTTCAGTAATTGCAACACCAATATCTAGAACTTTCTGCTAATAATCAGATGGTTAGATATCTTTATCTAATGCAAATCAACTACTTTTAATTGTCCCTGGTCCTTCTGGTACTGGTTTCCTGAGTTTTTCTTAGTGGGAAGTGTTCTAGCCCTCTCCATGCCAGTTCAATTTCTTGAAGAAGAAAATTGTGTGATATGGAATCAAATATGCCTGTATCAATTTGTTGTACCGTATTTCCCCATGTATAAGCACCCCCTTTGTATAAGCCACCCCCCCCCCAATTTTTGGACTGTGAAGTTTTGAAAAAAATATTTTATTAGAGAAACAAGTTATGAAGAAAGAAAATTTACAAAGAAACAAAATTCAAGATTCATAATAATCACTCATACACTCATCATCACTATCTGCTCCATCACATTCCACGTCTTCTTCAATATTATTGGCATCTAATTTAGCTAACATTTCTTCTTCCTCTGTGTCATCTTCATCGTCATCTTCATATATCAAATGATCTTCTGAACCATCAAGAGAATTAGATATTCCACATTTTTTAAAGGCTTTGACAATGATCTCGATCTTCACACTGTCCCAAGCCTTCTTTACCCACTTCGAAACTTCTCCAATTGATGGTTTCTTCAGTCGACCAGTTTTGGTAAGATTGTCTCCTGCTGTCGTCGTCATGTAGTGGTTCCATTCTTCTCATAGTGCCACCTTAAAAGCTTTATTAATGGAAACATCAAGGGGCTGAAGCTGACAAGTCAGGCCACCTGGAATAACCGCAAGTTGGGTTTTCATAGTCTCGGCAATCTTCTTAACATCCTCAGTCAAGTGTCCCCTGAAGGAATCGAAGACAAGCAAAGCCGGTTTCTTAAGCAGAGCTCCTGGTCGGCATCCAAATATCTTCTTGAACCAAATTTGCATACCATCAGTATCCATCCAGCCTTTCTCATGCATGTGAAGAAGTATTCCGTTGTGAATTTTTTCTTTAGGGAAAGTCTTCCTCTTAAAAATCAACATTGGATTTAGCTTGGTTCCATCAGCAGCACAACCCAAGACGACAGTGTATCTGTTCTTCTCATTTCCAGTTGTCTTTATGGAAACTGTCTTGGCACCTTTCAGATCGACTGTTCTGTTGCTTGGACAGTCAAATGTGACTGGAGTTTCATCCATATTATAAATTTGAGAAACATTGTAATTCCAGTGCTTTCTAAGGTTGATGATGAACTTATGAAACTCCACTATTTTTGCTTCATAATCTTCAGGCATTCTTTGAGCAAGTCTGGTGCGAGTCCTCATTGACAGCTTCTCTCTCTTCATGAAGCGATAACACCAATTTGCTGAACCAGTAAAGTTTTCAACTTCTTTTTCTCTTGCTATTCTTTTGGCTTCTTGCAAAATCATCTTGGTTGTAATAACTACACCATGTTGACGTTGCTCAACTATCCATGTCTTCAATTCCTTCTCCAAATGTGGCCACTTGGCAGACTTTCCACGACATGCCTTTTGCATCCTTGGCATTTTTCGAAGTTTCTCTTCCTGATTTCTCCATCTGATGATTGCCCTCCGATCTGGTGGAGGTCCAAATTCCCGCTCAGCTGCATGATTACCAAATTCTTTGGCAAACTTAATGACTTTTAACTTAAAGCTTGCAGTGTAGGCTTGTCTCTTCATTTTTCAGCCATTTTAGAATTTCAAAATAACACAGTAATGAATACTGTGTACAATCTTGCAAGTCGCACGAAAAAAAACGACGGTGCTGCAACACCGTCTGCCCCGCGATCGCCGGCAGGTCGACTGGACGGTCGCCGCCAAGCCCGGGCGGCGTCCGTATGGGTGGCGACAGACGAAAAAGCTTCAGACGAAAGTCGTCCGCGACGTCTAGATCTACAACTTCGGTCATGACGTCGAAAGCGGTGCGGGCGACGCTTGCAATCTACGCATCGGAACGAGAGTACGGTAGGAACGAAGCATTCAGGCCGATTCAGGCCGATCATCACTTACAATTTTTACAAAAAAGTATAGCATACTGCTGGAAAACCAGTTTATTCCTACTTTATTATTTTATGCATTTTTCACGTATAAAAAGTATACCTGCTTTGTATATGCCACCCCCCTACTTTTTGGGCTTGAAAATTTTGGAAAAAAGGGGTGGCTTATACATGGGGAAATACGGTAATTTTTGCTGATTTCCCATTGGCTGTTCAGTATGCTGTTAATGCCTACTGAATTATGTGGAATAACAACACATGATTCTAATGGTACTCAATATTCATTTTTTGGAATATTGTCTATTACATAACTATTTCTGTCTTGAAAATAAATAAAATAAAAAATAAATGAAAACATCAATATGCAAATACTCACAATTCAGTTTTATTTTCTTTATTTGAATATCCCATTTGTTCATGATACAACATTGGGCCTTCTTATTGAAGCAGGCATTGTAACATATATTAATGTTATTATAACTTTTATTGCTAGGTAAGACAGTCTAGAGAAATATTTTCTTTCATTCCTCACACTTGCTTAGGTTCGGGGAGGTTCATTTTGCTATTTCTTTCACCAAAGTGCAGTTATTTCAGTTTAGGAGTAGAAAGGGCTAGGATTAAGAAATTTCGTCTTTATTCCTGCGTTTCAAGATACATTATTTATGCTGCCTTTCTTTTATACTTTTGACATCTGTTCTAAACTGGAATGGCTAAAATGAAAAAGAGCTAAAAATGAATAAAGTGGGAATTTTATTTCATTATCCAGTTCTATTAATCTTCAAAATATATTTTATATGTAGAGAAATTCTTCCAACTATTTCAGATTAACATAGCATATTGGGCCACATCAGTAGTTTTTATTCATCTTTTCAACTAAATATATGCTTCTAGATTTCCAGAGTTCTTAAATATAAAGTATAAAAATGGGAAAAGATTGGAATGCAGGAAGAAAAAAACAACTTGAGGTACAAGTTTCTATTTACAGAATTGTTATAAACACAGTTCAGAGAGTAGAGGGAAATATAAGAAAGTTTCAACAAAATTCTCTTTCCTTCTGTATTCACAAAGCGGTTTCTATCGACTGTGGACATTCCAGCTGAGTTGAGGGTTCCTAGAAATTATTTCAATCTCTTGCAGCTATCTTATTTCTTCTTAAGGATTTTGAAGTTCCACTAAGCTTTGGTGAAATATTGGATTTCTTCTACATAATTTTAAAACTTGCAAAATATAGGAAAGTTATTTTTCTGTCTATTTGCTATAAATATTTTGCATTCAAACACTATCTTCAATTTCTCTTTTGTTTGTTGTTCCCAGTGTCACCCTCATTGTCTTGTCCTCAGAAGAAGATGCCAGTGACTTCAGTCTTGGAAGGCTTCTTGAGAATGTTTTCAATGCCATGGTGAGTAATCAAAATATGACCTCTGTAAAGGAAATTGGAAGATAAACCTAGTCCATTGGGCAAATAAATAATTTCAAGTAAAACAATTATTTCATCTGTTCATATATATGGATGTACAGGTTAAAAATCCTATGAGCTTATACAAGCCAGATTTTCTTATCGTGGGGAATTAAATGATGATTTATCAGGAGGTTCTTTTTCTAGTAATATAGAAGATCAGTTAGTCTATTTTTATAGGAAAATTTCTAGTATTAAGGATGAAAATATTTTTCTTCCTATGCTCTTGTTCTCCCTTCTAAACTCACGCAATTTCCCAAGGGCTTGTTTCTGCATCTGAATGGCATGGTATATTTTAATACAGGTACTAATACTGGGCCTGGAGGAACTAACGAATGTTCGTAATATTGAACGTCTCAAAAAGGATCTCAAGGTAATGTCTGACCTAACTGTCATTAGAAATGTGGAGAGTGGAGTAGGTATATATCATATGAAAATGGAAGGCAAGAATGCGGGCTGCAGAGGAACTTTTACTTGGGAGTTAACAAAGGATTCATTTTTAGGAAATGTTTCTTTTTTCCCCTATAATAAACACTTTAGTCAGTTGAGAGACTTCTTACTGATACTTTTATATCAAATCTTATATGGAAAAACATTTTATGCCTACACTTTACCCTTGGAATCATCTGTCTTTAGCTTGTGGCAGATGTCTTCTGCAGGCATGCAGGACTATTACATCAAGAAATTCTAGCAATAGAAGAAGTAAATTAATGGTAATTCTTATTGTTCATTTCACTGCATAATAAACTAAATATTTGGAATATTTTAATCCTTTGCCATTTAATTATTTCTTGCACAATTCTTTCTCTAGTCATGTTATAAACTGATTGACAGTTTCCTGGAACGGGGCAAAAGTTTTGCTGATTTGACCCAGTGTGTGGAATGTATTATGATGCCCTCCAGAGCAATTATGCAGGTGAGACCATCTAATTTTCTCTTCCCTCCTTCAATATGTCTCAACACATTCAGTCTTCCCTTTTAGTCAAGGATTTTAGAAGCTGATGAAAAAATGCCCTTCTGGAAAAATAGATCAATGAACAATTTCTCCATCAAAACAGTTAAAAATAGGGAGTATTTCAAATCTGATGTTTTAATTCAGGCATAAATATACATTTTACACCTCTTGTTAAGAACAGCTTTTGAATGAATGAATGAATGAAAGAAATGTTGATAGTGGTCCATTCTAAAGTTATTTGTTGCATCTTATCTCTTTGTATTTATGTCTCATAATGAATAATGAGAGTATATAAATTATAAAGGGTAATTTGGGGAAGTATCTGAAGAAGAAACCTCCTATTCTGGAAAAAAAAATGTTTGAGAGGTGGAATGTAATCATCCATAACAGAAATGCAGCAGGTCCATGGTGGTTTAGAGTCACTATATTTAAACTGTTGGGAATAGTCCTGACAGTATTGGGCACTGTCAGTTAAGTACTAATTTATGTCTAAAGATCATCACTATTGCTTTGCTATGCGATGAACCCAGTATCATCCTTCTGTAGGGCAGCCTAGTTCCTTTAAATTATTCCCGAAGTATAAGTTGCAAAAGTGTTCATTCTTCCTGGCCTGCCTGTGTCCCACAATAACTTTGTGTTACCAAGGTAAATGAGGAATTATTTGTTTACCCAAACTACTGACTAGATTTGTAGCATTAGCAGGAAAGAGTATTTTGTTTACATTCTTCCAAAATAAACAAATCAAGATAATTTGAAAGTAAATGGGAAACTGAGGAAAGAAGTGGATAAAAGATAATTAAGAGATAGAAGGAACTATCTACCTATTAGATACCAATTTGTAACAAGATGTCCTGGTTTCTTACTATCTTTTCTGTCAATTTTTAAAATCATTCTAACTTGTATCCATTACTTTGCATACATACAAATAAATCTTAGTGCTGTTCTTGTTCTTTTCTGCTCCAGGAATGCCTAGAAGCCTTTGCCTCTGCAGCAGAATCCCGGTTTGGTTGCCTGCTTGTGGGCAGTCATATCTTATGTGCAACTGAACAGTGGTGGCAGCTTGCAGCCCCAGAGGCCATGCTGCTGGTGTGGCTTGTACGTTCACTTTCTCCACATAGTTCCCGCGATCTGCCTGTTTACCTTCCCCAAGGCAGTCCCACGGTGAGCAGGTTAAAGATTTGAGAAGGAAATGAGGATATGTAAGTCCATATTTCTAATTTTTCCCTGTCCCTTTGTTCCAGTAGGTTCCTCACCGTTTCCTGACTTTTCAGCTTGTGCCTGATATGCAAATAGTATTGCTCTGTGGGCCTAATCCCTCTTTACAGTGCCTGACTGATGAGGTGAGTGTGCTGTATTTCAAATGTGTCTGATCTCTTTATCTAGAAGAGCAGTTTATCACCCTTTTTAAAATACACTTGGAACTGTCCATCTGTTGGTTAAATTTACTGTTCTATTTGTTGGCCATTGCTGATTTACATTGTGGGTTTAATGAAGGAGGCATACGTGAAATCAGTAGTGCACAGCTACTTCAGATTAATGGCCATAATTCAGCCCTCCAAATTTCTGGGAGGAGAGGTGTGATAACATTTTTCACTTGACTTTGGAGATTTTAAGGAATGGGAGCAGTTTATTTCTTGGTGGCTTTTGCTGTCACATTTCAGCATGTTGGGTTGCCTAAGGTGCATATAAATAGCAAGATGCCTGTTGATCTTTGAAGTTGGGGCCAAATGTCTGTTGAAGCTTTTCTTTCTTTCCACAGCTAGTTAATAAATTTTGGCAACCACTGCTGGATCTGCTGAAGGCAACTGCCAGAGGCCCTGCCAGATGCCTACCACCTGGCATTGTCCTTTCTCCTGGTATCCTGGGGTGAGTTTCAAATTTCTGGGTGGTCCAAGAAACTGATTTCATTTAGGATGTGGACTCCGTGTTTGTTAAATTACTTTGTCTTCTTTTTAAAGTCTCCTGTGGCATTCAGGGCAGTACTTTTACCATTCTTTCCCAAGATATAAGCCATGGGCTCATCTCTTACAGGTTACTGCTAATTAATCAAGACCAAAGGAAAAGCCTCTTTACGTTGCATCCTCATGGGGCTTCAACTGAAGGTATAGCTCATACATTCTTGTACTAGGAGAGGACAAATTAGGAATCCCTTCTATTTTAGTAATTATGAAAATCATAAAACACTGACATTTATGGGATATGAAAGGGTGGCCTGCTAAAATCTCATCCTGATCTCCTGCTTATAGGATCTGAAATGTCCACAAAGAATCGGCTCTGTGCCCTCCGTTCTTTCTATGCTTTAGTTACTTCCTTGTACTTTCCTTGTGAGAAGCAAGAAGAATACACAGGTATATTCCCATCTTTCTGTTGAAATTTTTTTGCACAATGAGCTTTTAAACATCTGTCTACTCATAAAAATTGGAAGACTAAAAGAATCAATAGGCACCAAGACATTCTTCAATTTGTGCTTGTATATGACAAATTTGGTGGCCATATATACTTTAATAAAACTAAAATAGTTGAAAGTTTAAATACTTTTAGAGTAAATAGCAGCATTCTTTAATATCTAATAATACATCCCAGAGTTGATCTTTTTGTTGCATTTCTTTGGAGCATTTATATTGAAAGGTTCCTGTAGAACATGATCAAAAGACCTCACAGGGTACTGTGGGAAAAATAGGAGGAGGAAAATAATTTGGATATGTTCACTATCTTGAAATATTTGTAAAAGTAATATAGGAGGGATATAAATAAATGAATACATAAATATTTTCTTTTCTCCAGTCCCTCTGCAGGAGGACTTTCATGCTGGGTTTTCCCATTGTCCTCAGCACTGTTATATGGTCTACACTACGCACAAAGCCTATGTTATTCATGAGAGGCAGCACCAGCTCTTCTTAATCGTGAAGTCAGATGTACCTACCTTTGCTTTACGATCCTTAGCAACCTGCACACTACAGGCTCTCACAGCTGAAGATTCGGCCTTTTGACTTATCTTGTTGAACTCGATGATGAAATTTGGAGTGGTGAGCTAGAGCCCCTCAGTTTGGTTAGAATGAGATATTTTCATTCAAATGTTGTAATGAAATTTTCTCTGTGCAAATGATGATTAGGCTGCAGAGAAGGATTTTGAATTTATGGAAATTTCAGAAACAGGAGAAAGTGAATAATTCAATGCAATTCAATTTCTTCTATCCTCTTATGTAAGTAGGAGGCAATACAGCTAATGCAGCTGTAGGTGATGACTAGTCTTTGGTCTCTATTCTCCATGTGTTAACATTGGTAAGAATTTTGTCTCTTATAACTTTATGAACATTATACACTAACATAATTTTGTCTCTTATATCTTACTATACATTACACACTAAGAAAGGTGCTTGGGCCAGTCTTAGCCCTAACCATGATGTGATTATGTAGAATTCAGCAATTAATCTTGAGAGCCAGTTTGGTTAAGTAGTGATTAAGGCACCAGACTAGAAACCAGGAGTTTGCAAATTTTAGTCCTACTTTGGCATTCAAGCCAGCTGGGTAACCTTGGTAACCTCATGCCGTCTCAGCCTAACCCACCTCACAGGGTTGTTGTGAGGAAACGAGGAAGAGAAAATATTATATAAGTTCACTGTCTTGCATGATTTGTAAAAATAATAAAGGTGGGATATAAATAAACAGGTATGCAAGCTGTACTGTGGCAGAGCTACTGAACTAAATTTTCCTTTTAAATACATTTCAGCAAAGTACTAGCAATAGTACTTACATTTATATACCACTTCATAATGCTTTACAGCTCTCTCTAAGGGCTGTTTACAGAGTTAGCATATTGCCCCAAACAATCTGGTCCTCATTTTACCAACCTTGGACGGATAAATGCCTGAGTTAACCTTGAGCCAGTCAGAATCGAACTGCTGGCAGCCAGCAGAATTAGCTTGCAACACTGCATTCTAACCAATGCATGAACTACCTCTCAAGCATTCACCTATAAATAGAAGGCAATTCTGTATATAAATCGGGGAGGGATGTTAACAGAAATTGATACTACCCTTATTTATAGCTGGCTTATGTCATTGTTTCATCAGAACGATCGAAGAGCCTTGATCATATACATCGTACACTGAATAGGGCCATTTTAATCTATATACCTTATAATATTCTCATGAGTTTTGATGGAGTTAAGCCAACCAAGCCAGGAGGCCAGATGCAGAGGAGAGACTCTCATTTGCATCTTAGACATTGAATTTTATGGGGGTGGGAGAGAGGGAGAGAGTCATAATGAGGAGTGGGTATTTTTTTCTCCAAAGACTTTGGTCAGGGGGAATACACTGTTTATGTTGGGCTTGGCTTTCTAAGAGATATGGAAGGGCAAAGCAATGAGAAAGTGGTATTTTGCAAAGACTGCTTTCTACACCTAGGAGGAACATAACTGGAATGATCGGAATGTTTTCCACTTGTCACACTTTTTAAAGCTGTATCTACTGGTGGGAGTGGGAAAAGCACAGACCTTTCAAGATGCCTTCGTCCACTACAAGTAGTCCTCACAACACTAATTGGGACTGGAGTACATTTGTATGCAACAGTTGTAAAGTATGACATCATGACTGCACTGCTTAGCAACAAAAATTTTGACAATTCTAGTTGTCATTGTTAAGTAAATTTCATGCCGTCATGAAGTCAGGGTGTTGTATGATTATCTACTGGCTTCCCCATTGACTTTGCTTGTAGAAATCTGGCAAAAAAATGTTGTAAATGGCAAACACATGACTGCAGGACATTGTGACATTGTAAGTTAAAGATCAGTCATGAGTACCACTTACTCAGTGTTACTGTAAATTTCAATGATCACTAAACTAGTGGCTTATAAATGAGGACCATCAAATGAGGAAGACATTGTTTTCTTCTGTATATATATATATTTGCCTATCTTTGCATAAAGGAAGGCAGAGCTTCCATGCTTTCCACCACATGGAGAAAGCAACTCTGGTGAGGCTCAGGCTTATATATAACTAGTTCCATACCCCTTAGCTGAACATCCTATTGCAAATGCTAGGGCCAGGCACACTGTGAAAACCTAAGTGTATAGTATGCGACAGTTCTCTATCCGTTTCTACGCTGTCCACATATAAAGAGCAGTATGAAACAAATCAGTCAGCGGTGTGGGGGGGTAACCCAGCCTGGCTTGATTCTGGCTCTCCCCCACTCTCACGGTTTTATTAGAGTCACATGGAGATAGATACAGGCATTCAAAACCCAGATAAACTAAGATGCGCTAGTTAACACCTACACAGCAGAGTAACATGGAGCCCGGGCCAGCATGGGAAGCTGGGACACCCCCAAACTAGCATGATCTGAACCCTTCCCCTCTCTTTTCCAAAATGCACGGAGGGCAGCATTCCAGAGTCCATCTCCCAAACTCTTGTACCTGCTTGAGGCACTCCTTCCTGGGAATTGAAAAGATGGTGAGGGGAGGCAGAAGAGGAAAGAAATTGTCTCTTTCCCTCTCATCTTCATGTAGTTTCCTTCTAGAGCTGAAGAAAGAGGCAGTTGCTGTCAAAATTACGTTCCCACAAATACACGTAACTGTAACACTGGAATGATCATATCAAAGGAAAAGGAGAATTTACATCCCCATCGCTGGGGAAACACACAAGGCAAAGAAACACAAAACGACTGCCTACAAGAATATCCCCTCCTCCCCAAAGACCCACACAATCCTATTCCTTCCCCTCAGCCGGCTCAAGGGGAGCCAGAGAAGCTATCCCTTTCCTCAACAGAAAGGAGAAAATCCATGGTGAGAAAATAAAGGTACATATTGTAAACAAAACTAAAATGCCAGCTTAAAATCATATAAAAGTAGTGGTAATGGGTGAAGAATTAAGACCACAGATTTCAGCCTCATCCCAAAATGAGATGGACCAGTTTACTGCATGGGACGAAAGCTAGCTTTCTTCCAAAAATTGCCCTTTTGCCCAAGGGATGATTACTACTGAAAGAATGCCCTGCACCAAAACCCATCGTCCCTCCCCTAACCCTAACTGATTTTGTCTAACCAAGGGTCCATACTTTTGCTCCCCCTTTGCTTATCCCGCTTGATGCTGGCCCGGGCTAGGCAATGAGAACACAGAGGTTATCACAACAACAGGCAGGGAGCAGTACAGTCTTTCTGGAGGCCCCTGGTTTGGAGAGTGTTGGGATGAGATGTACAGAGGCATCTAGTGTGCAGGAATGGCCTCCCCTTCCTATGGTGTGGCAGATGCCTCAGAACTGCTGGGAAAGCAGCTCACAAAGGTGCTTTGAAACAGACTCCTTACTGGTACGAAGGGTCAGCCGGTACATCTGCAGGAAGGATAAAGGAAAGTTGGTTAAAAGAGAAACACTTAAACATTATGCCCCTTCAGTTGTCCACAAGCAGTTTGGTGCTTTGGTAAGCTTTCAGCTACACCTCTTCTTCAATTTTATCTGTATTTCCCATTATTTCCTTAGAACTCTCAGAAGCCTCAGTTTCCCAATTTTTATGCTTTTATTTTAGTGCCAACTTGTATGTCTGAATTCAGGCCTCCAGTCCCAGGAGCCCTCACCTGTGCCTGAGCATTGGGTTCCAGTCGCAGCAAGCATCCAACCTGCAGTGCTTTTGTCTGGATGATCCCAGCTCCTACGTAGTTATCAGGGTTTGGATCCACCTTCTCCAGGAGTGCACTGCCAAAACCTAACAGCTGTTGGAGAAATAAACTGGAACTTAATGGGAATGATACAATTGCAATAGAAGGTCTACTGCAAGTTACACCCACCTTAGAAAGCTAATAATGGGAGAAAGATATACCTGAAAAATTGTTTCAGAAGTCTGCAGCACAGACATTTATACAATGGCTGCCTCTTCTGGCTTGATGTTATGCCAATTTTCATAAGAAAAAAATCTGGTGATCAATGGAAAAATCAACAGTCCTAAATATAATACACTAATATTCCCAAACTAATACTAAACAACGAAAGGAAATGTGTTCCATCATGGACAAACACAATATCCAAAGCTTTAATCTTCACTCATCTGAGCAAATTAGTAGACATTCTGATCTGAAATTAAAATAACTGAATTAATTGCCCTGAAATAAATACAAGCCTGCAAGTCTTTCATAGCATTCAAAGCAACTTACTTTTGCTTTTGTCACTTCTGAATCCATGGGGTGGTTTGCCTTGAAGATTTTCTGAGCTTCCTGTTGTGGCCTGCAGAAGAGGATCAGATTAGTAATTCAGGTCCTATTTTCCTAGTCATCTATCCTGTTACATCAGGGGTGGGCAATTAATTTCTGTCGGGGGCCACATGGAAAGTCAGATCTGCGTTCGAGGGCCGAACCAATTTTATAAAAGGCCATTATAAAGGGCTCATTATAAAATGCAGCAAATTATATATAAGAATATTATATTTATATATATATATATAATTTGCTATATATAATATAGTATATATATATATAATTTGCTGCATTTTATAATGGGCCCTTTATAAT